AAGGTAGGGGTCTTGCAACCATCAAGAAAGAAGAGCTGGGAGTGGAGGGTGTGCTTTGGACCCCATATCCCTGCACTGGGAACCTCCTCAACCCAGAAGACAAACAGAGTTGTAACATCAGTGAGAAGCAGCAGCAAAGAAATGATGGCAGCAGAATCAAGAGAAGAGCAAGAGACCATTGAGCTTCCCAGTCCATTGAGTGAGATAGCTGAGCACCTTCAGGCAGGAGGCTTGCTGGCAGAGTAGGGTGACTCCAGGCAGTTGGTGAAGATAGGTTTGCCCAGCATAGAGCCAGAGCTGAGTGCCTTCAGGCAGTGGCTTACTGGCTGAGTGGATGCCGCCAGGCACTTTTGGCAGAGATAAAAAAGAGCTTTGTTGGCACTTGCCTCAGCAAGGGCAAAGCCAGGTGTAGTATAGTGAATTACTGGGTATGGTTTTTCTACTCTTTGTAACTCCTACCAGATTACTGGGTGGGACCATGAATATAGGTGTGTAGATCTCTGATGTTGGGATTGCTTAGTTTTGTCACTTTCCCAGGCTTAAAATGAGCCCTCATAGAGGCAGCTGGAGGATCTCACTGCCATGAAGAGAGAACTATAGGTGAAGTGGAGCATGTCCTTGGACCTGAGATCCCTGTGCTGGACCTCCTTGGCTGAGAATGTCCTTGACAGAGAGATGGTGGCAGTGAAACCTGCAGGCATGAGACAGAGGGACAGGCTTACCTGGCCTTATTTCTTAAACAAATATAGATTAGAGGTTCTTTCAGAGATAAGATAGTTCTACATAAATGCAAAATAATAAAAACATTACTTATTAAAGGCTTTTGTCATCCTTGGGATGATAAGCTCCTGACAGGTTGTGTTGTACATTTTGTAAACAAAGTGGGGGAGATACCATCTGAGAAAGGCCTGAAAATCCTCAGGGGCTGTGAAGTGCTGGAGGTTTTGCTCAGATTGCTTGTGGTCAGGAAGCATCTCAGCCAATGCTCAGAGGCTGGGTCCCTCCTGTTCCTCCCATGCATGGATTCCTGCTGCCCTAGAGCTGCTAGCCATTAAATGAAAATCTTTGGAAGCTTGTTGTCTATTGAGATCCATAACTGTGTAACTAAATTAATGGGAGAAAATTTGTCATAAGATAATGGGATTGCAGAGGAGACCTTGTTGGATTAATTGAAAAACTGCAAGTTGGAGGAGGAGTAAAAAGCCTGAACTAGCAAGTGGCCTAGGACAGTTTGGTTCTTTCTGAGTGTGAAGTTAGGACCAAGGGTTAGGTAGAAACACTCGTGTGCTTGATTATTCAAACAGCACTGAGTGTCTGGTGGTGGAGCAAAAAGTATAACTTTCTCCAATGCAAATAAAAACCACAGTGAGATACGACTTCACCCCTACTAGGATGGCTATAGTTTAAAAAACAAGAAAAGAAAAGAAAGAAAACAGTAGGTATTGTTGAGGATATGGAGAAATTGAAGCCCTTGTCCATTGATGGTGGAATTATAAAATGATGCAGTCACTGGAAAATAGTTTGGTAGTTTCTCAAAAACATTAAACATAGAATTACCATGTGACCAAGTAATTCCACTCCTGGGTATATACCCAAAAGAACTGAAAGCAGAAATGCAAACATGCTTCTTCACTGATGTTCATTCCAGCACTGTTCACAATAGTCAAAAGGTGGAAACAACCTCTTTTTCCATCAACATCTGAATGGATAAACAAAATGTGGTATATACATACAATAGAATATTATTCATCCACAAAGAGAAATGAAGTCCTGATGCATACCACTATATGGATACACCTTGAAAATATTTTACTGAGCAAAGTAAGTTGACACAAAAGGACAAATATTGTATGATCTCACTTACATATAGGGTCACTGTGAGTAGGAATTGACTTGATAGAGTGTTTTGTTTTGTTTTTTTTTTCAGTTAGATGAAAGATTTAGGATAGGCAAGTGTATAGAGGCCAAAGCTTATTAGTGGTTGGTTACCAGGGGCAGAGGACTCATGGATTAGGGGACACTGAGCTTCTGTTAAGAATAATGGAAGTATTAGGAAATGGATAGTGATGGTGGTTACACAGTATAAAATTAAAAGAAAGAAAGAAAGAAAGACAAGACATAATCTTCGCATAACATCCTCACAGCCTAGGAGACGAGATGGACAAATAAAAAGAAAATGACAGGATTGTTCCCTGGAGAGACAGTGGAAAAGATAGTACAGGAGCCCAGGGACACTCAGAGGAAGATAGCACTAAATCCTGACAGTGTGACTTGAGAAGGGGGTGTTAAGGACTGTTTCCTTAGGGAGATGATGCTTACGATGAGTCTTAAAGGAGAAAGGACTTTTGCTGGTGGAGAAAGGGTAGAGGACAGAAGGGATGAGAAGAAGGGATTCTCAGGCAGCAGACTTCGTGAAGGTATCCTTACAAGAATTCTGTACAACATGTCTTTGCAGAATTAAGGATGCTCATTTTGGGAATCTCTTAACATAGCAAACGAAACTCTGGTGGCACACTAGTTAAGGCATTTGGCTACTAACCAAAAAGTCAGTGGTTTGAACCCACCAGCCAGTCCTCAGGAGAAAGATGAAGCAGTCTTCTTCAATAAAGATTTACAGGCTTGGAAACCCTATGGAGGTTGCTATGAGTTAGAGTTGACTCAGTGGCAGTGGGTTTGATTTGGGGTTTTAGCATAGCAAACATGAATCTGTACCTGGTTTTGTAAATAAAAGTTTAATAGAAAACAGCTTATACATTCATTTGCATATTGTCTATGGCTGATTTTGCACAACAATAGCAGGGCTAAGTAGTTATGACAGAGACCTTATGGCTTCCCCAAAGCCTGAAATATTTATTATCTACCACTCCTCAGAAGGAAGGTTGGGCAATCTACTTCCGTAGTGATACCGCCTCGGAAACCCAAGAGGGGTTGCTATGAGTCAGATCCGACTTGACAGATGGCAGTGCGTTTTTTTTTTTTTCTGTGATTGGTCGGTAGTATCAGCCACTGGGAGTGCAAGACCAGACTCTTCACAAATATTTACTTAATCAGTTATCATAAGAGCTGGATGAAATCTAGGTGAGTATAGTCATTCCTGTTTTTCAGATGAGGAAACTTCTGGCTTCAACAAGTTAAGTATCTTGCATTGTAATTGCTAAATGGCATGGCCTCTAATCCAGGATAAGGAGGATTTTGATTTTAGGCTATAGTTATCTTTCACAAATATAATGCTCATTGAGGAGCTCTAGTAGCATAGTGCCTAAAGCACTTGACTGCTAACCAGAGGGCTGGTGGTTCAAACCCATCAGCCACTCCTCGGAAGGAAGGTTGGGCAATCTACTTCCACAGTGATACTGCCTCAGAAACCCAAGGAGGGGTTGCTATGAGTAGGGTCCAACTTGAGGCACATAACAACAACAACAACAACAATGCTCATTGAAAACACTAAATCAAGGGGTCAAGGATTTCCCTGTTTCACATTATCAGAGGAATTGATTTTCAAGGGACAGGTGCAATTAAAATCCTTTTTAGTGTTAATTTCTATGTTAGCCCCAGCATTCACTGATGCCATTTAATTCCCCTGTCAAATGGTATTGTAGTTTAGGGTATAACTGCTGATTAGTACTTTGTATAGAAAACCATCATAAATAAATAATGGTGATGTTTTCCAAGCATTTCTGGAAAATATAGTAAGTCTCAAAAGAGAAGTCCATACATAGGTTTGTTGTTGTTGTTATGTGCCATTGAGTCAAACCCAACTCATAACGACCCCTCCTTGGGTTTCTGAGGTTGTATCACTACGGAAGTAGATTGCCCAACCTTCCTTCTTGAGGAATGGCTGGTGGGTTTGAACCGCACCAGCCTTCTGGTTAGCAGTCAAGTGCCTTAGGCACTATGTTACCAGAGCTCCTTACATAGGTTTAGGATTGTCCTAATTTATAACTAAAATGATCATTTCTAAATAAAAATCATGATCTCAGTACTCCACTGTGCCCTTAAGATGAAGCCCAAAGTCCTTATGGCTCAAGAAACCTTTCCTATTTGGGACCTGTCTGCTTCTCCAGTCTGACCTCTCAATACCTCACACTTCTTCATTCAGGCCAACATGTATTCCTGCATTTGGAGCGGCATCAGTTCTTTAATGCCATCTTTACCTTGTTCCTTTACCTGGCTCATGCCTACTTCATGTTCACATCTCAGCTAGGATGTCTCTCGATTCTGGAAGCCTTCTTTGACCCTTAGAGACTGGATTTGACCCTTATCATACCCTAATAGAATGTCTATTAAACTATTCAGTTGTTTATTTGTCTGTTGTCCACCAGTAGACCATAAGCTTCTTGAAGACATTCTTTTTGTTCTTCCTCTTTATCTAGGAATCCACTAGATTCTAGCCAATATAAAGAGAATTTATTGTGAGAAAATCCTTAAAGCAATCAAGAGCTCTTTGAGGAACTCTGTGAACCAGGTCTGTAAGAAGCTGTGCCTCATGGGACCAGATTGGGAGTTCATCAGGTCTCAGCTGATCTGCCTGAGACTCTCTGCTCCTCTGCATATCAGCTCTGTGCGCCTTTCTCCTGCTCACACATATGTCTTCAGAAGTATAGTCATGGCCTCAGCTTGCCTGCATCACCAAGAATGGCCCCACCAGCCCTGGTGGACCCTCAGTCTCATGGCTTACTTTCCTGCTCCCTACTTGTTTGATTTTCCAATTGCAAATTAAGAGTATGGACTCTGGTTGGCTCAACTTGCCCATTCAAGCTAGGCCACACATGTCATATTTCTCTGGCTATCCTGGAGCTAGGCTGTCCTTGGTTCAGGTCCCCAACTGCAGAATGGTCAGCTATGTTTAGACTTCATGGAGTTCCATGGGTCAGAACATGGCTGGCTACCAGTACGGACCCCTCCTCTTGGCTTCTCTTTTTGCTTCTTTGCTTGGAAGGATGTTGGACTTGTGTTTTTTCAATGTCATGGTATCCTTTGCTGTTTTCTGTCTTTTACAGATATCATTAATGGAGCTCAAGAAAAATGTGTATTGCCTCCTATGGATGGCTATCCCCACTGTGAGGGGAAAATCAAGGTAAGGCAGACATGATGCTTGCTTATTTCCATCATCCTCAATCTGCTCTATCACCGTCCCCCTCCCTGCCCCAGCTATATGGATGGGGGAGTGAGCTATTTAAAGAGTACCTCAGTCCTGCCAGTTCGGGGCTGTGACCATGTTGGTGCCTTTTCTGCTGCCACCTCTATGTGTCTGACTAAGACAACAGTTCTGACTGGTCACATTGAAAGAGCCAGGGCCATTTCAGGCTCTGCTGTGCCTTTGAAGCAGGGATCCTTCCAGAGCTAATGACAAAGGACTGCTGTTAATTCAGTGTCCTACCTCTCTTCTCTCCAGTCTTCAGACTCCTGCACTGAAGTCTCCAGATTGTGGTTTAAATGTCACATTTGCATTTGGGGTTGAGAACCCAGAAGCTCTTAGGCACTCATTCACTCTTTTAAAACTTTTTTTTTTTTTTTTTTTTAAGTTTTAAGTTTTAAGTCCTCTTTGTCTAGTCTGCCCTCTGGGAATCCACTCCCTGCTGGGTGGTTTTCAGAGAAAAGTTTGTTTAGTTATGCAGTTGGGATGGTGATTCTAAACCCTAGAAGAACCATTTTCATCTTCTGGGGTTATTTTAGGAGCTCTGGTGGCACAGTAGTTAAGGCATTGGGCTGTTAACCAAAAGCCAGTGGTTCGAACTCACCAGCCCCTCCACAGGAAAAAAATGAGGCAGTCTGCTTCAGTAAAGATTTACAACCTTGGAAACCTATGGAGGTCGCTGTGGGTTGCACTTGACTTGATGGCAGTGGATTTGGTTTGGTTTGGTTTTGGGGTTAGTATGCCTGTGAAAGGAGCTCTGGTAGCGTAGTGCCTAAGGCACTTGACTGCTAGCCAGAAGGCTGGTGGTTCAAACCCACCAGCCACTTCTCGGAAGGAAGATGGGACAATCTACTTCCGTAGTGATTCTGCCTCAGAAACCCAAGGTGGGGTCGCTACGAATCAGGTCCGACTCGACGGCACATAACAACACAACATGCCTGTGAATGAACATTCATTCACTCATTCCACGCTCTGTTCTGGGCACTGTACAAAGGGCAGGTGAACTGTGTTTGCTTGAACAAGGGATACTTAGTTGCAAGTGCCCCATTAATCGAAAAAAACCAAACCAGTTGCTATTGAGCCATTTCTCACTCATGGCAACCCCATGTATATCAGAATAGAACTGCATGTAGGGTTTTCAAGGCTGTGATTTTAGGAAGCAGTTTGACAGGCCTGTCTTCCATAGTACCTCTGAGTGGGTTGGAACTGCCAGCCTTTTAGTTAGTAGTGGAGAGCTTAACCATTTGTACTACTCAGGATCCCATTAGGCACTTGATTTTGATAAAACTCCCCAACCATTGCCTCTCCTGGGCTTTATGACCTGGACTTTTCCACAACCTCTTTCCAATGTGAGCACCTCTGTGAGGCCCAGCTCCAGCCAGTGTGTCTACCTGTGAATCATTCAGGAGCTGAACAGTGGTTCTGTTGACTTGCTCAGGGAATCCATCACTTGTTATTTAGGCCACACTGTGAGCCATTCACTCCACCCTTGGTCTCCCTCCCATCTCTTCTGTCAGCAGATGTTCAGGGGTCCAGAGAAAGGGCTGCTAAGAGATGTCTTTGTCTGGTTCTTGTCATTTCAGTGGATGAAAGATATGTGGCGGTCGGATCCCTGCTACGCAGACTACGGAGTTGACGGGTCCACATGTTCCTTTTTTATTTACCTCAGTGAGGTGAGTCAAGTCTGTGGTGTCTAGAGGTGATATGTGTGTATTGTCTTTTGTATCTGAACATGGAATTTGAAAAGTTTTAAAACGTGTATTTTTCCATGAAGGGCATATATTTCTCTACTTTATTATTCTCCCCATGTAAGAAGACCTTTTTTCCTGAGGGAAAACAGCCGAAGTTAGGTATTTACTTTCTCTTGCTTTTTATGTGGGCTTCATTTTCTTTGGTACCTTTGCATTTAAGTAGCAACTTAAAAAAAAAGTCATAGAGCCTTTTTTGGCAAGATTGCCTCATACCCACTGTTCTCATGAGAACTCCAGAGCTAATGATAGTCATTAAGCTAACCAGAACTGGAAACAGTTGCTGTCCAGTTGATTTCCTAGTTGTAACAACCCTGTGTGGTCATGGTAGAGCTGTGCTCCATAGGGTTTTCAATGACTGATTTCTTGGAAGTAGATCTCCAGGCACTAACCATTTGTGCCACCCAGGGACTCCAGTTATTAAAATACCTCTTAGAAATTAAAAGCATTGATTGTAGATCATAGCCAGTGAAACAATGGAATTTGTTAATAGGTTTACATGATCTCCATTTGACATTTAGGAGAGTCAAGAGGGTATAGTAGAGTTATGACTTACCATATATGTACATTTATCTAGCTAGCTATATCACCTATATAGAGAGGAGGAACTAAGTAGAAAATCAACACCCGTACTCCCTTCCCCTCATGGACAATGAGCAACCCCTTAGGGTCTTGTGAAACAGGTGCTCATACTAATTTCAGAGAAGATTCACTCAGGCCAGGCTTTCTGCTGCCATTTCTTTTGATTGACTCCTGCATTTTTTCATTGTTGTTGCCCTTTCACCGGTAGTAGTAACAACTCTGTGATGATACCATGCAGGAAGAAGAATGCCTCTATTTTTAAGAATTAAGGTGTTGCACAGCTGAATCAGATTCTTTTGCCCTCTTTTGCCCTCTTTTCCCCATGAGACTCAGGTGCCTCTCTGCTCTTTGTACAAGGTAACCAGAAGGAGCATCTTTTGGGGATGGAGGCCAAACCAGCATTATTAAGGGCTCATGGCCCTGTATTCTGTGGATTTTAGCTCCTCTGGCTGTCTCTCAAGGACCCCTCGTGGTACAGTGGTTAAGCACGTAATTACTAGCTGAAAAGTCAGTACTTGAAACCCACCAACTGCTCCATGGGAGAAAGATGAGGTAGTCTGCTTCTGTAAAGATTGATAGCCTTGGAAACTCTGTGGAGCAATTCTACTCTGTCCTACAGGGTCACCATGAGTCAGCTCTTTTTTTTTTTAAATTGTGATTTGGATAAAAGTTTACAGAGTAAATTCACTTTCCATACATCAGCTCACATACACTTTGTCTCATGACATTGACTACAATTTCCCACAATGCAACAGCTCCCCTCCCACTTCCTCCCCATAGTTACCTCTTCCCTGTGTCCTTCCCTCCCATGCATTCCTGCCCCCTGAGCTGTCTCTCTGTGCATACACAGCCCTTGTATTCTCCCATGATTGATCTCTCCAAGGAGTGTGTCTACCTAATGTAAATATTCATCTCATATGCCTGTCTTTTGTTTGACTGAAAGCCACAGGAATGGTTAAATGCCAGACCAGAAGGGCATGTAGGGGCCATAGTCTTAGTGGTTCCACTAGTCTCTATCAGAACAACAAACCTAGTCATTTTTTTTTTTTTTTTTTAAATGATTTTGAGTTTTGTTACACAGTGTTCTCCCTCTCTATCCAGGATCTCCTATGTAGATCATCCTTCAAGTGGTTGACAGTGGTAGCTGGGCACCATCTAGTTCTTCTGGTCTCATAGTCATATAGGCTGCAGATCACATGGTGTACCAGTCGCTTGGATTATTTGTTCCCATCAGTCTTTGGTTTTCTTCATTCTTCTTTGCTCTGGATGAGGAGGTACCCATCATCACATCTAGATGGCCATTTGCAAGTTCTTAAGATCCCAGTTGCTACTCGCCAAAGTAGGATGTGGAAGAATGTTTTGTGTAGTATGTTATGCCAATTGAGCTTGATGTCCCCTGAGCATAAGTCAGATTTGACTAAATGGCAGTGAGTTTGGTTTTGGTTTTTGGCTGCTTCTCTTCTAAACCATTTCTTCTTTCTCCTCAGTATTGTCCAATACTTTGCCTTTTTGTTGGGGGGGGGGGATGAGGTCACCCCATAGTTACCCTAGCCATGCCATAACTAATGATGGTTAAAGTACCTTCTGGAAATTGAAGGCACTGAGAGTTGGGTGTGTGAGCTTCCTTATTAGCAAGCTGTTGGGAAATTGATTTAGTAGCATTTATTTAGTGTGTTTCTGGCTAGTGAGTTCCATGGCCTGTCTTCTTACTGAGTAAGGCCTGGGGCCCTAGGGTGAGCCTTCACTCTAGTAAGAAGTCAATTAGAAGTACCTTTCCTACCCTGAGGAAAAGACTCCTTATAAAATTTAATTTTCAAAAGTTTTCTTCCCTTTTCCTTTTGATAGAATTTAGTCAGAGTCCAGCTGTGCTCCCTGATTGACAAGCTGAGCTAATTTCACACCCATATAAGAGTTTGCATATTGGAATGGACTTTTAAAGAAAAAGTAGAAGATTTTACATTTACTTCAGCCTTGTCGCTACCTTTTAGGGCTGGAGCTGGAAAGGTTTGGGCGAATAGTCTAGAAGGAAAAAAAACAAAAAAAAAATCCAAGACTTGCCATAAAGTCTATTTCTATTCATAATGACCCCATGCATGTTGCTCTGGTTACCTAGTACTGCTCTGACAAGAATATACCACAAATGAGATGTTTGAACAAACAGGAGTTTATTCTCTTACAGTTTGGAGGCTTTAAGTCCAAGTTCAAGGTGCCAGGCTCTAAGGGCTGTGTGAAAGCCCCTCGACTCTGTGCTTCAGCTCTGCCTCTTGCTTCTGGACCACTGAAGCGAGAGGCATCTCTTCACTCAGGTAGCTACTGGCTGCTGAGGCTAACAAGCCCAAGGTTGACAAATAAAATGGCACAGTCCTGATGTTACCAAACTGCATAGCAGGCCATTCATTCAAGTCCATTGACAGTCCCAAGGTCAACAGAGCATGGCAGACTGCTGAAGAATGACAGAACTACATGAAGGGTTCAAGTGTGTCATAAGCTAGAGACCATTTCCAAAATTGTTTCCTATATATGGCCAAATAGACACTCAGTTAACTTAGCTAACATTTTTTATGGCCTTTGAGGTAGTTAGCTGAAGATAGTTTCAAGATGTCAGTTTGCCTGGGACATTTTACGTGGATCCTTGGTTTAATTTTAGATTTCAAATCAATTTTTAGTTCTTGTTTACTGATCTAATAGAATTTAACTTTTTTTGATTTCTGGTAATGTAGAAATTCAACTATTTTTCAGGTAAAATTATTAGAGATGTTTTCTAAAGCCAATTAATTCTTCCTATCTAGTACTTTTCAAATTCTAGATAACATTTATGGCTTTTGGATACTGTTAAGTAGTCCAGGGTCTTTTCTAGCTTTCTTTAAACGTTCATTGTTATTTCACTAAACCCTCAATGCTGTACTTCTGGGATCATTTGCCAGATTTCTCTTACAATTGGGAAGATGTTTAAGTGGGACATCTTCATTGGTGGAGGCAGCATTGACTTGTTTGCTTACTTGTACCAGTGACTTTTACTTCTTTCTTAATCCTTATTAAAGTGACAGTTCTTGTTTCTATTTGACTTTAGCCTTAGAACTTTGACAGATGCCAGAGGGCATGAAGTCAAGTGTCCCTTACAGTCAGTCACTAGGAGAATTGAAGCACTGACTTAGGCCAGTCTCAGGAGCTAGCACTCTTCCTTCATTTTTCTTTCCATGGTTGTCTTGGTATGCCAACTTCCACTGCATTATGACATTGTAAACTTCTGCTTATCCTTATGTGTTATACTGGATTCTCTAGAGAAACAAAAACTAGTAAAGCTTATATATATGTATATGTATATATAGAGAGAAATTTATCTTAGGAAAATGGCTCACACACTTATAGAAGCTGGCAAGTCCAAAGTTCCTGGATCAAACGTCAAGCTGGAGGCTTTTCCACTTCAAGCTGGAGGCTTTTCCCAACTCTAGCAACTGCAGGCGCTGAGGAGCTCAAGGCTGGCAGGCAGTACACTGGCTGTTGACGCCAACGAATGATGAATCCAAGATCTCCAGGCCAAATGGTGGACTATTCACTCACGGACAGTTGTAGGCAGCACAACAGAATCCCGATCCACAGAAGAATGTCTCTTTTCCCAGGATGTCCTTGGATATACTGGGAGCAGGCCACACCCCTAGGGAAACTCCCTTTCACCAAATTGCCTGCTCAGAACATAATCATCTGATCCCATCATGGGAATAACCACATCACAACAGCTTAAACCACACAGAATTGTGGCCCAGCCAAGTTGACACACAGCTCCAACTATCACAGTCCACCCCTTGTCAACTTGGCAGTTGTACACATCTTCTAAACCATATGTAATCTCTAAATAAAGACAATTATAAAGTCATATTTGCACCTAACATGATATGCTAACACATGTACTACCAAAATGCATTAACCTTATTTACATTTCACAGTTCATAACAGAAGGAAACAAAAATATTTGATGCACATATATAATGAAGAAATATAACAATCACAGTCCTCGTTTCTGTAGCTGGTGATGTGGTCGTAGCTGATATTCAGAACTACCTTCTTCCATCACCCATTCTGTATTTCCCTTGCCCTCAACAAGCATCTCAGCTAGTTGTGGTTCTTTACCTGGTGGGGTGACCCAAACCTTCATTCCTGAAGGGTCTGAGCCATTAGAAGTCATATCAGAATTAGGTTGCTGTAATTTTCCATTGACTTTAATCACAAGGCATGGTAGTACTAAGAGACGTCCTAAAGAATCTCCTGTATTCCAAACATATTCTTTTTTACCTCCATTATGTAAAGCCAATCCAATTTCCCCTTGGTAATCAGGATCTATCACA